TTTTTGGCTGGGGCTGGGTTCAAACCCACCACCTCCAGCACATGGGACCAGCGCCCTACCCTTTTGAGCCACAGGCACCACCTGTGCTTATTTCTTTATATAGATTCAAATTTCTGACATATTTTCCTCACATCTTGCCATTTTCATATGAAATTCTCTGTGATCTCTGCTTCCAGATCTGCTCTGAGGCTGCCATACTCATGTGCTGTGTGAGGGTCTGAGGGATTTCTAAACAGGCTGTCATCATGGAGGCAGGGCTCAATGCAACCAGATTCTCTGAGAAGAACCAGTCAGCTGGGCATTAAGAGAAAACAAAGTCCCAGCTGCAGGACAGCAGAGATTAGCTGAGCCTCCCACACAGGAATGGCCATAGCCAAGCAACAGCTGGGCAGTGACCACACCCAGCCATGTACTCACCCTGCACCCCTGCAGCTGTGGCTGCCCAGCTCCAACTCCATCAAGCCCACAAATGCTGCGTGCTTACTGCTCTATGCCAACAGCAGCCTTCCTTTTCTCAGTACCTCAGCCTTGCCCTGTTCTGCCTTTCCCTGGCCCAGAAGGTCTCAGTGACGACTTGTCACCCACATGGCTCCAAAGAAGTGAGTGTTGGTGCCCCAGCAGCCCTCAATCAACCCTGAGTCAGCTGAGCATCTAGGTCTCAGACAGCTGAACATTGAGCATTTTCTCTGCTCATTGAGAGCTGCCAAACCTGTCTGTGATCCAGTTCTCAGGGTTGGTGCTCGCTCACTGCTCATGGCACCTTATCACCTCTGCACTGCCTGAATGGCAACTCTGGAGTGTGCGGGGACATTTTTCTCCTTTATTGGCTGGGAAGAAGCAGTTTCACACACTGCTGTGAGGACAGGTGCTGCAAACACATGTTTATTCAGATGTCTCAGTGGAAAGGGTAGCTAAGTCCTATCTTAAAACAGGTTTTAGCCTCTAAATGGAAGGAAGAACTGAGAATCCCAACTTTGTTCATTGAATAAATAAAGAGAGGGTAGAGTCCAGATCATTGAAGAGGCCTGTGCAGCAGTGAGTACCAGACCTGCATGCTCTGGGCCAGCTGTTTCCATGAAGCCCTGTGGAAGCATCTTTTACAAGGGAGGTTTTCACAACTAAGTGATATGTTTTCCCTAAACCTAATGATAAGGGATTTCTGTACATAAGAAAGGCAAAGTGAAGGCTTTTCACTGCAAACTGCAGTCTTAACCTTCAACCCTGAGAAAATTGTTTTTTTTTCTTTCTGATCTCATGTAAATGAATGTTCTAGACACTAACGTTTAATTGTAGACTTCCTAGACATCCCTTAACATTTATTTAGGGTTACTGTGGATATCCTAGGATAAAAAGTAACTTTGGCTGCTGACAGTCTTTTTATTAATTCATTTAACATTTATTTACCAAGTTCTAGTAAACCGGCAAGCCTGGCCCCATGTTGGGCCTGCAGGCCAAGGGTGGTAGCCGGATCTCTGCACAGGGCCTGCTCTGGGGTTTGGGGACTCAACACCCCACTCATCTGTCCGCTATAAATCAGACTCGTTCCTGGGTGCATGATGAGCCTATATTGACTTTACTTTTCATCTCTTTGACCCACTTTTGATTAGACCTGCAAGGACGATGTCATTAGCT